TTGCGTTCAAGCGAAAAAAGCTGAAGTATTTTTGTTGTTGTTGTTGTTTTTGTCTTCCTTTTGTTCTCTCTTTTTCTTTGCGGAACTGTCGCGTAGGCGCCTCCGTACGTGCTGAGAGTTCTACCTTTTTTTTTTGTTTCTAATCCACGTGGTCTATACATACATATAAGCATATAAGTATATATGTGTGTCTGTGTGTGTTATGTAGATATGTATGCATGTATATCTTCACGAATACTCGCCTGCGGCTGCTGCGGCTGCTGCGGAGGAGCAATTGGCTGTGCAAGTCGTCTGCGGCGCCACGTTGGGTCTTTCTGGTCTGGGTGTTGACGGGCGGAGAAAGGGAAAGAAAAGCAATGAAAAGAAAAAACTAGAGAGACAGCCGCGAAGAGCTTAGATGGCGAGGGGGGGAGAGGTGTGCCTCGTTGTGTGTCGTTGGGGTTGTGCTGCGCAGCCGCCGCCGCTGCTGCTCCCGCACACTTTTCTTGTGTGTGTGTTTTTTTTCGTTTCTGCGCGGCGACGGCGAAGCTTCACGCCCACACACCGCCCCCCACGCGCTGGTGCATCTCTCTCTCTCTCTCTCTGTGTGTGTGTGTGTGTGTGTGCGCTGCTGGTTCCTGTGTCTCTCCTCTACGTGCCGTGCCGCCGGGACTCGCGTCGCTCTCCGCTTGGCCCCCGGCCCCCGCGGAGAACCAAAAAAAAGGAAAGAGAAAAGTGAAAACAACACACACACACACACATATTTACATATATATATATTTATATATTTATTTACACGTATATATGTCGCCTACTTCCCCTGCTTCACCTCGCCTGCAGCGAGCATGTGTTGGTCTGCCTTGCGCATGCCCCTCACCCCGCGCGCGCGCCTTTAGTGAAGCGTTATTTTTTTGCCGCTTCCGCCTTGGCGTGCGATCTCCTTCGTCCACAGTCGGTGTTGCTGCAGGGGCGAAGAGGAGGAGAAGAAGGAAAAATAGGAACGTGACGGATAACCCCGCAGTGCGTGTCTGGATGATGTGCGCCCCCTCTCTCCTTGTTTGTTTCCTTCTCGCCTTGCACCCACACACGCAGGGAAGGCGGACGTGCACTTGCGCGTACGTAAAGTAAAGTATATTTAACACTGCCGAGGCGTGGGCGAGAGGAATCGCGATGCAGTACGCGGGGGGTGGACTGGCAGGGGGTCCTGGCTCGAGACTTGTCGGCCTGCTCTTTTCAGACTACCTCGCCTGCCCTGCCTTTGCGGACCTGATTCAGACGCTACTGAACACGTCCATGGATTTTTTTACCGGCTACCACGTGGGACCGTCGATAGCGCCCATGAATGCGATCTCGCATTTGATACTGTATCGCGTGATCGAGTGCTTTGTACTAGAGGGGCTGCTGAACAGTAGAGTCCCTCTCCTCCACGATGCGGGGTTGGTTCACCTGGTGTTCCAGTACGTGCAGCAGTACCGCTTCGGCCGCTGCTGGGTTACACGGCTGCTGCGCTCGCTGGGGGGCATGTTCCTCCCCTCCGGCCTGCAGCGGCTGCTCGGCAGCTGCCTAGCCGGAGTCACGGCGGTTCCGGCAAACGGCGAAAGTGACACGCTGAAGGCGCTGCCACTGGAATACAGTGAAAGCCTGCAATATTATCGTCAAATGTACGATCAGAATGTGCCGTATGCGGTGTTTGTAGGCGGGTTTGTCAGCGAGCTCACACACACAATCACTGAGAACTTGCTGTGGTGCAAAACGTTCTACCGGGCGCGTGAGAATAACACGTCGCGGTGGCGTCTGCTGAAGCCGTACCTCGCTAACCTTGCAAGAGACACTACACAAATGATATTTGTGTACTCGGCGCGAGTGGCTGGGGCGTGGCTCGGACGCCGTGTGTCACGCGAGCCGACTGGCAGTTCCGTGTTTTGGGGTGAAAGCATCGCCCTCCTTGCGCTTACCCCGGCCATTTACCGGACGACGACGACTCTCGCCGTGCGGCTATTTGAAAAGCTGGAGCAGCTGCACCCATCCACGCCTGAGGATGAGCAGGAGGACATGCGCGAGCGGGAGGCAAGAATGGAAGAGGAGGAGCAGGAGGCCGCGTTCAGACTTCCGTTCACGACCCCCAGCGAGAACGGGGCGCCGAAGGAGGACCTCTACAAGGTGTTGGGGGTGAAGGACACCGCAAGCGCGGAGGAGATAAAGCGGGCCTATAGGAAAGCTGCGCTGGCATCCCACCCAGACCGGGCCGCCCACGACGCGGCAGCGCAGCAGGCCGCACGGGAGCGGATGGCGAGTATCAATGAGGCCTACGAGACACTCTCGTGCAAGTCCCGGCGGGTGCGGTACGACATGGGCCGTGTGGCGAGCGCAGGACAGGGGGTGGCGAAGTGCTTTGAAAACATCCCACCTCCCGTGGAGCTGGGTGTCGAGGCTATTGGTATCCTTGGGTTGAGTCTGGCGGCGACGCTGCTGCTGTGCGGCCAGTACTTTGCTGCCTTTCACCAGTTGACTGGGTCGGGACGCACGCCGTTGCGGTTTCTCGGCCTCGTTTGACGAGTCCCGCTGGGAGGACGACCGCAGTGCCGGGAAGGAGGAGGAGGCGCGTGCATGTGAAGGGAAAGGGACGGGGCGTGGAGGGCGGGTTGACTGTTGATGTGGTGCAACGACATGTACAAGGCGTGTTTCTCCGTCGGCAGTGACGTGAACCCGCACAGCCTCATCAGCTCTGCGAAGAAACATCGAAAAGCAAGAAAGGCGGAGGGGGGAAAAAAAAGAAACCCCAACAAAAGGACGAAGAAAAAACAAAAGCAAAAGAAAGTGAAAGAGCAAAGACAAAGCATCGGGCGAAGGGGTTCTACATAGCCCCGGTTTTTTTTCCTTTTGCAATAAAGCGGGTGAGTGTGTCAGTGCGAGGGGACCCGGGTCTTTTTGTGTGCATGTGCGTACTTTAACACGATGTGGCGAAGTTGTGTCCGTGAGTAATGCGCGTCTCGCGTGGAAACGAGAGCGGTGTGCGTCGGCGAGAAACAGGCTGTGGGTGGGAGGCGGTATGCCCGGCGGTGTGATGTGTGTGTATGTGTATGTGTGTGTGTGTGTGTGTGTATGTGTGTGTGTGTGTGTGCGTGTAGCTGCTCCGCGTTGCTACTCAGGCGCAGCTCTTTTTTTGTTGCCTTCTTTGCCTCCCGTTTTTGCGTTGCTGGTGGAGCGTTGCAGAGTTGTAGTTGTTCCTTGCATTTGAGAGCTGCATACACACGTATATATACATATATATATATAAATCTGCGAGAGGCAGGCGGAAACGCTCCAAGCGTTG